ATTGGTGATCACCATAGAACAGAATTCTGTCATGTGGCCAATATCTTGACAGAGCTGACATGCCTTGACTTCGCTGACCTGTGAAAATCACTCTGTACAGGTCATCATCTATCTTACTCCAGTCCACTTTCCAGTTTTGTTGTTCGAGCAGGGCAGCAGCTTTGCGGGAGAACTTGCGGTGATATTGGTAAAAAGTTGGTTTTAAGTACTGGGCATGCATCTCCAGGATATTACGTTCATACCTGTCCAGCTCCTTGTCCCTCTGTGGCCACCTGATACACATGATGTTTTTGTATCTGCCAAATGCAGTGACGAACATGCTGATGGTAAGAGGCATAGTCATCCTGGCATCAACCTGGGGTTTAAGTAGCATTGTGTGTTGTCATTAAAAGGCAAATGAGCGGGCTGTAGTGGACATCTCATCTGGGATCATAAGGAGAGCTAGATTTACATCCTTACCCTCCCAGATCTGTTTCCTCAGCTGGCGACACTATCTCGACCTCCGGTATGCCAAGCAGGTTGTGGTTGTTCACTTGTGTTGGCAAGCTTCCTCTTGTAGACATGGGGTCATCAGGAGCAAATCTTGCAGAGAATAAAGTGGTTCCTGACTGGGCCCGGGGTATTCCCGTAACATGGTCTTGATATAACCTGTGGTCACTTTCTTGCTGTGGTTGTTGTATGGCTTGCGACTGGTTGGAATTCCTATTATCCACTTTGTCAGTTAGACGGGCTACCTGTTGTTGCAATTGCTGAACAGTGGTCAGTAATGTCGCCATATTGTCGTTTCCGCGTGGTTCTGGTTCCATAATGCCTTGACTCGCTGACCTGTCTGACCTCGCACTGTGATTGGCCACGTTAATAGAGTACAGCTCTTGATACTGCTTCGAGAAAGACCTTGCGGCGGTCGTATTCCCAACATCTGCTTTCGATATAGTTCGTAATCCTCTCAATGGACCAATTCCTTGGGAGAGTTGAGTGCGGTCGATTGTCTCACGGTGATATCGGTATAACGGCGTCTGGAACTACTAAGCCTCTGGCTCTTAAACCGGTTCCATGGTTGTCTTGCTCTCCAGCGTCTTCGATGCGTGTCACGATTGTTTGCTGTTGGAACAGGGCGTGTGATCGTCGTGGCGAGCGCCTCGTGAATTTCCTTCCGTCTTGCTGGAGGCATGGCGGATCAATCGATCGTTAAAAGTCTAATCACCTCGATAATAAAACTTTTAAGCTCACAGAACTTTTCAACTTTCCACTCACAGCATAAACAATACCAGCATGGCGAACTATAAGCTAGTAACTGCGCATGACTGGAAGTAGAATTTCAGACAACTGCGCATGGCGGAAATAACCTGTGCATTAAATAAAAATAGACTGGCTCCTTAAAAGGAGATGAAGTGGGACTGACCCGCCTGCTATGTAAACAAGGAATATTTGGCGTAGCGACAATGGTGATAAAATAATAGTGGTATGTCAATATTTGTTCACCCCAGTATATGGTGTACATTAAAACGTGTCTAGTCTCCCTTCAGGGATAAACAAGATAACTAACCATGAATGGCGCGTAATACAAATAATTAATATTCTATACTACATGTACACGTGATGGGCTGTATGTACAAACAACACACATTTATAAACCATGTGAATGGTAACAAAGCATATCAAGGAAAACAGTACGTAATAAGAAGTTGGATATTTGTTGGTCTTCCCGTTGTTATAAACCTAGTTAATTACATTAACCAACAATTATGAAACAGTTGAGTGTACTTGGTAATATTAACTACTCTTCATTCTTTAAAATATTTGATGCCAAAGTCAGTCCAATTTTATCATATGGGGCCGAAATTTGGGGAATAACAAAATTTGTCGATATTGAAAAAATCCATTTATACGCATGCAAAAAGTTCCTCGGAGTTATTAACGCAGTGATTTATGGTGAATGCGGTAGGTACCCAATGCACATTCTTACAAGCATTAAAGTTATTAAGTACTGGCTAAAACTGTTGATTATGCCTTCAAATCGGCTTACCTAAGAAGTGTTATAATATGATGTTGTTATATGATAAAGGTGGACAAAAACTGGGCAACCAATGTAAAAACTTTTATATTCTATTGGTTTTGGAATTACATGGAATACACAATATGTCGAATCACCTACGTTATTCATACAATCCTTAACGACAAGACTAAAAGATATGTATATTCAAACATGGAGTGAAAGGATATCATTATCAAATAAATGCATGTATTATTCATTGTTTAAAAATGCCATAGTTCTTGAGTCATATCTATCCTGTGTTAATGTTAAAAGTTTAGAATAGCACTGGCACGATTCAGATGCTCTTCTCATGATTTGTTGATTGAAGAAAGAGGCAGATATATGAATGTAAAAAGAGAAAATAGAATATGTACACTTTGTAATTTTAACGAAATAGAAGATGAATTACATTTTCTCCTAATATGTCCATTTTATGACCGGTTGCGAACAAAATATATTAAAAGATATTACTATGTCCATCCAAATGTGATAAAATTCTCCTCATTGTTAAGTAGTAAAAATCCAGTTCTTCTACAAAATATTTCAATGTTCATTTACTATGCTATGATTAACCGATCTAAATTCCTCTCAAATGTAACATAACTTTATGTACTATAGGCCTGTGGCCTTCTCAGTGCAAATAAAGATTATTATTGTTAAACCAAGCTCTCTGTAGTTCACCTGTCTACAGTCAAATTTTATTCATACTTTGTACCACTAAAGAGGCCATTTAACTAATCAGTTTGTAATCTAGTTATATCATATGGATAAGTGGAGTTTGGTTGTCACACTGCGCACTCAGCTGTAGTATTAAATCATACATACTAAAGGATTAAGATTTCTTCCTTGCAGTCTGTATTGACTGATGTCAGTTATGATTCAACACTTCAGATGATATATGTCATACCTGACTGAGATGCATAAGTGGTGTTCTGCCAGGAAAAGGACAATTAGGGACCTTTCATACATAAAAAATATAGGGTCAGTTCATATGAATTATGGGGGTCACACTCAGAGATATCATATACAATTTGAACCATGATTGACCAGTATTGTTATTGAATTACAAATGATTTGCTCTGTCTACTGAGTAAGTCAGTGCATTTCAAGTTTTCCCTCCACTTTCTGATGAAGAGCTCAGTTATCACTGTAGCATGTGATCATGGTGATGTCATGCATTCTATCAAGGTGTTATTACATTCCATGGTGAACTCATAGCATTCCTGACCTTTCTCATGTCTCACAACTTTGAAAGTCACCTAGATAGATAGAAATTAGAAAACGACAGATCATGTTTGTATTCTATAATGTCAGTACATACGGTATGTTTCTAGATTTGTAGTTTTCATTGAGTAGTCAATGCCAAAATTGTTTACATTTCAAACCTCAAGCTAAACTTGTCTGTTCCAAATGTAATTTCTGTTTATCAAATACTCAACAAAACTCTCAAATCTGAAAACATACCATGTCTTTTTTCTAACTAGATGACTAACCCTTAGCCTTCAGCACTGCTAGAACTTGGCTGACATACTGCCGACATATGTCATCAACTGGTTCCAATTGCATCATGCATGACATGTAGGAGATTTGGAGAAAAATCACTGAGCCAGTTGTATGCAGAATTTTATGAAGTTTGGTTTAGAAGTTAGCGAATCAGATATCTTTTATTTGTTTGCATATTTTCAGTTCAGACCTTTGTTTTACAAAAACCTAATGCTGCCATTTTTGTCCATCAAAATGTTGTTTTAATCAATATTTCTCTTTTGTTCAATTACTTTCTTGTTGCTGTGATTATTTTATCATTGCTGTAATAATTTCTCTGAGTATATACCAAAACATGCACATGTTGCTGCATATAAATTATGTCAGTGTTTTGTTTCATCATCACTTCACTTGTTTGATAAACACTGCAATAAAGTTAACCAGTATTTATGTGGACATCCTTCTCCTACCTTTCCCTTTCTCAGTGGTATTCAGTCTCTATCTGCTTAATGAAGCGATTACTAATACTAGTGTTGACAGGCGGTGAGGTAGCCTAGGGGTTAAAGCGTTAGCTTGTCATGTCGAAGGCTCCGGGTTCGATTCCCCGCATGGGTTCAATGTGTGAAGCCCATTTTTGGTGTCCCCTACCCTGATATTGCTGGAATATGGCTAAAAGCGGCGTAAAACTAAACTCACTCACTACAAGTGTTGACCCTCGTTTCTCTCATAGACATTGGCAGTCACTCCCATTCAATTTTCAGCCATGTTACAAGATATAAAGTTTCCTCAATACTCAAGGCTCCATCTTTATAGAACTATTTCTATTCTACCTTATTGCAAAGTTAATCGAAGGATTATACGTTGTTATATTGAATATTGCAGTGATTAGAAACTAACATAGACTGCTCACACTTTGCTAAGGATCACAAACTTTACTTAAACATAGATTTATAATTTGAAATTGTATCCATTTAAAACTGGATAAATAGTAATATAGTAACCCTTCTTTAGGCAAACATCTACTTTAATCTAACCTTATGCACTTGATACATGAGTAACCATAAAAATGGTTTTAATGGCACCAATCAACCATTTTGCAAATCATGGAATGAGTCATTTACAAGTACACAACACCTGTCAATAGCAGGTATGGGATCCACAAGATTAAATGACATACTGAAACCTAGGATCCATACTTACAATAAGCTTAGATATTTAAACCAAATCAGATCCCATATCATAGTTTTCTGTTGAATCAATGATTTGATCCTTAGCAAAGTGGGAATAGTATATTTAGGCCACAAGTCCTCATAATGATAACAAATGAGCTAAATCTTTAAGATGGCAAATGTTTACTTGTCCTAATAAAACCTTAAGTTGGGGAGTTGGGTAAAGGCTATAGGACTAGAAGCTGAGTGATGATACTCACTGGAATTGTACCTTGATGTTTTAACATAATTTTGAAAACTTTGTCATATTTCAGAAAAGTAGACAGTTCAGGCATTTCTACAGATTTCCAAGCGTGAATGCTCTTATGTCCAGCTGAGAACAAAAATGATGAACAAGCAGAAAATACAGCAGCAAAGGACAAGGAAGAGATGGCACACATTTCAAGAATAAGATTAAAGGTCACATGCAACGTAAAACACAACTTTGCAGATTCTGATACCTTTCGGTATGGACTTACCGAAACAAATCGTCAAAAATGCAAATTCAACTTATAAAGTTGAAAAATAACGCGATGAAAAAAATGCGCGAAATCGGAGTTCAAACGTTTCACTAATTTTCCCCCGACTTTTCTGGGGAAAACGGGTTTCAACAGCTGGGCTGCGCTCATAGTACGTGCGCAGTGAAATCGCGCTGGAAGCGGGTTGTCCGGTGAATACTCGGCGAAGGCTTTGGTGTGAGCTATTTTTCTAATGTTTTGTTGATATCTCACAGGCGCGAGCTTTTTATATGTTATGACAGTAAATTAACTGTTTATATAATTTCACCACACGTTCTTCTTACCGAGTCACTTTCTCAGTTCGATACTTAAAAGCAATGTCATTATTTAGCATTGACACAATTTCTAACTGTGATATAGATATGTCGTTGTCACAGATAAAACTCAATGTCTTGTTTTATTGACACCTGTGTGTCTGCCTGCCTGTCTGCTAATGACAATATTTAATACACAGCTGCTATCACTGACCACATGCAATTTGAACTTAACACCAATCAGGCTATACACCATAAACAAAATGCATTGATTTATGGCCCGAGTTCGGTCTCTGTCACATTATGTAATTACACAGACAGGCAGGTGTGATAGTTGAACACTTGACATGTTATGATGTCTGTTGATTGCAAAATGTTATACACAAAAAATGAGCATGTATTTACAAAACCCAACATCTCTACATATACACACACAATAAGCCGTGAGGGCATCTGCAAATGAACCAGCCGTTACACTTGAGTGCACACCCACCCGCTCTGACTGGGTTCGGTATCCCGGCTGCTTCGTTTCTTGGGAAGTAAACCCGAAGTACACAATATTGCACTTTTGATTTGCGATTGTGCGCTTATAATTTTGTTTATATGTTTTCATAACCAGCAATGTATATTATATGTCACGAATAAGTGATAATTGTGTTTTAATTATGTTTGATTTTTGGTTGCATGTGACCTTTAACATTTTATTCAGGAGTCGTTTGGTATGGCTAAGTGTATGATAGGAGAACCGGAATAGTCCCGACTGGCTCAAAATGGGTTGTGGTTAGATATTATTCAGACCAGACATCAGGAAGATATCAGTGTCGGAGCCCCAGTTTATTCAGGAGTCGTCTGGTATGCCTCAGTGTATGATAGGAGAGCCGGAATAGTCCTGACTGGCCCAAAATAGGCTAAGTTTAGATGGTATTCAGACCAGACATCCGAGGAAGATATCAGTGTCGGAGCCCCAGTTTTAACAGGAGTCGTCTGGTATGCCTCAGTGAATGATAGGAGAATGGGAATAATCCCTACTGGCTCAAAATGGGTTGTGTTTAAATGGTATTCAGACCAGACATCAGGCAAAATCAATGTCGGAGCCCCAGTTTATTCAGGAGTTATCTGGTATGTCTCAGTGTATGATAAGAGAACGGGAATAATCCCGACTGGCTCGAATGGGCTGAGTTTAGATGGTATTCAGACCAGACATCAGGAAGATATCAGTGTCGGAGCCCCAGTTTTTACAGGAGTCGTCTGGTATGCCTCAATGTGTGATAAGAGAACGGGAATAATCCCGACTGACGCAAAATGGCCTAAGTTTAGATGGTATTCAGACCAGACATCAGGAAGATATCAGTGTCGGAGCCCCAGTTTTTACAGGAGTCGTCTGGTATGCCTCAGTGAATGATAGGAGAATGGGAATAATCCCTACTGGCTCAAAATGGGCTGTGTTTAAATGGTATTCAGACCAGACATCAGGCAAGTATCTATGTCAGAGCCCAATTTATTCAGGAGTCGTCTGGTATGCCTCAGTGTATGATAAGAGAACGGGAATAATCCCATCAACCTTCGCTGATCTTTTCGTCGTGATCAGTCATTTGAAATAGTGTCAACAAATCCATATTTAATTACACAAGTTAATCATGTTGTTACTTTATCTCGTCATGAAACATATTTTTTATATCTGGACTTTGCAATCCAGTTTATTAATTTTACTCAAAAAGTCAAAAAAGAATGTTTATATCAACTGCAGTGAAATCCTGTGTCTCCCTGATATTATAACTTCGGTCTGCATTAGTCACAAAAATCACTGTCATATTGCATCTACCTTTCGAAATGAAGTGTATTTGGCAGAAAATGGATCATTATACATATTTCGTTTGGCTAAAAGAAATAGTTCTTGTAGCTGGACGATCACATGTCTTCGCTGTGGAAATAAGCGAGATCGCTTGAAACCTCATTGGTGACAGGTCAAATTGTTCCTTGCATAAATACTATCCAGTAATACACCAAAGAGCTGTCGCATAACCTTACTTATGATTATATATATTTTTCAGTAATAGAGCAAAACCTGCAATTAAAATGAAGCAATATACTTGTCATGGTAACATAATAATTTCAGATACTATATTTTTCCGATCACTCCGATTAAATAAATCACCAGTCGATGGTGGGGAAAAGTGTGCACAGCTGATTGCCATTTCCGATGGTGTATATGAGGCAAATGCACACGCTAATTCTAATCCCTGCATATAATACAATGCCTAGCAAAAACAAATTAGAACTGAAAAGATACATAAAATTGTTTAATGATTTTTAATAGAAAATTTTACGTCTTTACTGACAAAATCGTCTTCTCTTGTTAGTTCACGGGAAACGATACGATGTCGTTTTCTTACCCCCCGAAAGAAAGACTACATATCTGCCTGTCTTTATCAGGGTGTTGATTTCCTATAGAGGTTTTTGGTGTTTGAGAATGAGAATATTTCATATTTAGTTGTTGGTTAATCTTAACATATCCTCAAAACTTATTCCATAGCAAACCATGAGTGGTAAACAATGAAAAATAATCTAAGGCAAGGGCACATCGGCGCTTGAGCGGGAAACAAGTTAAGCCAAATGATAAATGTATGTTACAGCATAATATTTTTAGAAATATTACAAGTAATCATAATCTCAGTGTTTATTCTAACTAGTCTGGTTTGTTTGACTGCATCATATTTGAGAAAATTAAGCACAAAAGTATCAATTGATTGTATGTACAATGTTACACATCGGAAACAAGATGGTCAGTTTCATGCACACATATGAAAGACAATTTTCTCGGCGCGCAAGACACTGAAACACATAAACAACCAATGGGCGACATGTATCAAATAAGCAGCCACAGAAATGTATACACGTATATAGTATTAAACAGCAACCATTGTGCGACATATATATGTATATTACATAAGCGACCATTGGGCGACATATATATACGACCTTGGGCGACCTTGCAAGCACACACAGGAAAGAAGTTCCCTGCACTTGCACATGAGTAGTATATACACTGGGGGTACGAGATCACTTTTGCCAAAGGCCTCTGTAAAGCTTTATTTCATAGATAAAGCCTTTATCAGGCCCCGATCTCGTATCCCCAGTGTATATACCACTTTTGAATCCCCCAACCAACTTCCTGGTCACTATGGCCTTGAATCGCTACTTGGGTGGCAACATGGTGCCGTGAGGTATGATCAATAATTCCTCTCTGACGAACCCCCTCGGCGGCCCGTCTTTCAAGTAGTACAAGTTCGGTTCGTCGGGCTGTCAGCGGGCTGTGCTTGTATATGCACTCGAACCCGCGGGCTACTTGGGCCGAGTCTTTCGCGGTTAAGGGTTCGGCTTCTTTGTAGCGGCTAGCCACGTCAACGACGGTCAGGGCATAATTGTACCTCTTGCCGTGGGGAAGGAACAGGAGGTCAGCCTGGTGGACGCTATTGGGTACGTCAATGCCGAACTTTCTTCTAGGCACGTAGCGTGGTGCCGGTAGGTAGATCTGCGACAGGGCTTGTTTCCCCAACCACGCTTGGGCTTCGTCTGGTGATACTCTCGCCATTTTGGCAAGCTTATGTATGGTGCTAGCCCCTTTCCAGTACCCACGCGGGCTGTAGTAAATGGTCTCAAACTTTCTCTGGTTCCGTGACATCGTATACATACGGCTATGTCTTTGGTTAAATTTTCTCATGCCCGTACGCGTACATGTTGATTCCATCGGCGGCTATCCAACGCTTCGTGTCCATCGGCAACAGGGACGTCTTGTTTATCGTCAGTCCGTATATCCTGTGTCCTTCGCTTCTCAGCATGTTCATCTGATGCTTGAAGGTGCGGGCCCTGAACAGGGCCTCCTTGAACCTGGCGTGTTTGATGTGTTGTTTCACCACATACTTCTTGACACGCTTCGCTTTCCGGATCTCGCTATTGTCGGCCTTCAGGATGGAGTACATCTTGGGCCTCAAGCCTATGTACTCCGCTATGGGTGTGCCAGCACACTCGTCCTTCATCTTACCGAGGACCTTTTTGTTAACCGTGCTGTGCATGGCGTGGCCCTTGGGGTAGTCACTGGTGTCGTACAAATGGATGTGTTTTGCCATGTCCTCATACACGTCTTCGGTTGAATCTCCATCAGTAGGGAGTCCGTCCGATGTACAGCACCTTACGCGCCTGTCGTTGCATACTCGCTTCTTCAGCTCGTTGCAGTAGAAGTCGTACATCAGGTGCTTGGAGCTTCGAGGATGCTCATCCCAACATAGGCGCATGCCGGTTGAATTTGATGTGGCTCTTCCTCATGTGCAGGGCCACCAGATGGATTCCAGTGAATATCTGGCTCCGGGTTGAATGCCGGGCTGGCTATCAGTCTCCTGAGCTTGTCTTCCTCTTCGACCGACCAGCTTCACGGTCACGCGTTTCCTCAAGTTCTCCATCGTCTTACCGAACACCGAGTTGTTCATGAGCTTGTAGAGGTTCTTCTCGAAGTCACTGGTGGACAGCTTTCGCAGGTCCGCGTTCATTCTGATGTAAGGCTCCATCCAGGGGCTTTGGTCGAACCTTAGCACCCTATGGGATTTAGTCAGCCTCATACCCAGCGACAGGTACAGCTGCAGG